TGAGTTCGATCCCAGGCGCCGGCGAGAAACAATGGGCAGAGTTTCTTTCACCCTGAAGGGAACTATCAGGGGGGAAAGCGAAAAGCCATGACGACTATATAGCACTGGGAAGGGGTCAGGATAAGGATTTGGGATGGGGGAGAGGGGAGTGGGACGGGGAAGACGTGCTTAGGGGATGGGGGTGAATAAGGGATGGGGGCCAGCGGCAATAGGATGGTGGTAGCTTAACTCGGGGTGTAGGGCATGCTAGATGGGGGGGGGGGGGGTATTCAAAGGCTTGTGTCCGAGGTGTATCCCATTAGATAAGAGGGCCCGGAGATAAGCTGGTAAGACCGTTCGTCGTCATTAGTTCCCATCTCTGGGGATTTGAAGGCGATCGAGTAGGTTCGCTAATAGGCTTAATGTGCAGGGGGGGGGTGAAGGGGGGGCATACCACGGAGGTGTGTCGTTTGTTAGGAGGGAGGTTGTTTGGGCGAGGTGTCTGCTAAGGAAGATCAGGTTGCGTCTTATACACTCTAAGATAGAAGCAGGAATGTCTTCTGACGCTAGTTCACTGGCTGAGAGCTGTCTCTACAACAACTCTCTATGCTGGTCCGCTCCTGTGCCAGGTAAGTCCACTACGGGCTCACCATAGCCCGTGCTACTTGGAACTTGTTCCGAGTGGCTGAATCTATAACATCATCATCTCTATGCTGTTACTCTACATGTTTCCCCACAACACGATACGCCACCCGTCTTACATCCAGGTCTCCAGTTACCACAGGCACGAATTGAGAAGGAACTGTGCCCAATCGTCTGGATTAGAAACCACGTCCTCAGTCTCACTTTGTGTTTAACGTTGGCGGTTCCTGGTTGGAGGGGGGGGGGGGACCTATTCTTTTGTTTGTGCTTCTTCATCTTCTTTATGCCACTCCCCTTGAGCCCTGGAGAGGGTTTTGAGAGTTCTTCTACTTCCCATGTTCGGTCCGAGGCCAGGCTTGACTTATGATAACTTGGTCCAACAGGCTGGCAGCTTGGAGCGGCCCGCAGACCCACATATCCACTACAGCCTGGTTAGTCCGGCACTTCTTGAAAGAACTTATCGAATTGCCTTTTGAATACATCCACCTTTGTTCCAGCAATATTTCTAATGCTTGCTGGGAGGGTGTTGAACAGCTGTGGACCTCTGATGTTCAGACAGTGATCTCTGATTGTGGCTATTCCACCTCTTCCTCACTGGTTCTATTCTGAATTTCCTTCCGTATCTTTCGTTCCAGTATGTTATTCTACTGTGGGAATTCTGGACCCGGCCTTCAAGTATCTTCCATGTGTATATTATTTGATACCTTTCTCGTCTCCTTTCCAAAGAATACATTTTGAGAGCATTTGAGATGACACTAGGATCATGTCTCGGGAGTTCTGCGGAGCGCGGATGTACATGTCCCCGGCGCGCACTACGACGACCAGGAAAGACGTGGGAGGAGGAGCTGCGACAAGTGGCTAAACAAGGTCATTTACGTGTTAGTGGCGGGCACAAACGAGCTAGTGCCACGCAACAGTTTAAACAATAAATCACACAACAGCAGCAGGGACGTGCCAACCTTCGTCAGGAAAACATCCCCCATACCACCACGCCAGGGACATTTTCTCTCTGGGCGGGGGGGGGGGGGGGGACACAGAATACTCCCCCATCCTCCTCCTTCTCCCTATTCCCATCCTAGTGTAATTATATCCTTGCCCCCCATCTTCCTCCCCTCACCCCCATCTTCCTCCCCTCGCCCCCCATCTTCCTCCCCTCGCCCCCCATCTTCCTCCCCTCACCCCCATCTTCCTCCCCTCGCCCCCCATCTTCCTCCCCTCGCCCCCCATCTTCCTCCCCTCACCCCCATCTTCCTCCCCTCGCCCCCCATCTTCCTCCCCTCGCCCCCCATCTTCCTCCCCTCGCCCCCCATCTTCCTCCCCTTGTCCCCATCTTCCTCCCCTCGCCCCCCATCTTCCTCCCCTCCCCCCCATCTTCCTCCCCTCGCCCCCCATCTTCCTCCCCTCGCCCCCCATCTTCCTCCCCTCGCCCCCCATCTTCCTCCCCTCGCCCCCCATCTTCCTCCCCTCGCCCCCCATCTTCCTCCCCTCGCCCCCCATCTTCCTCCCCTCGCCCCCCATCTTCCTCCCCTCGCCCCCCATCTTCCTCCCCTCGCCCCCCATCTTCCTCCCCTCGCCCCCATCTTCCTCCCCTCGCCCCCATCTTCCTCCCCTCGCCCCCCATCTTCCTCCCCTCGCCCCCCATCTTCCTCCCCTCGTCCCCCATCTTCCTCCCCTCGCCCCCATCTTCCTCCCCTCTCTCCCCATCTTCCTCCCCTCGCCCCCATCTTCCTCCCCTCGCCCCCCATCTTCCTCCCCTCGCCCCCCATCTTCCTCCCCTCGCCCCATCTTCCTCCCCTCGCCCCCCATCTTCCTCCCCTCGCTCCCCATCTTCCTCCCCTCGCTCCCCATCTTCCTCCCCTCGCCCCCCATCTTCGTCCCCCTCGCCAGCGCTTGTCACCCCTCACGCCCTTCTCTCTCCCAGTCACCAGGCTGGGCGACAGTTCTGGAGGCCGGGGCGGCCACCAGATGAAACAATTACCAATTAACTGCCCGGACAAGGCAAACACGGCACGCTTCGAGTCGGGTTCAGGAAGGACCAACTTTTGAAAGCCGAGTTTAATTTGTTTGTCATAAAAGGGGGAGCAGGCGGGAGATGAGGAGGAATAGGGGGGGAGATGAATAATGATGGGAGAGGAGGAGATGAAGGAGAAGGAGAGGAGGAAGTGGTGGGTAAAGAGAAGAAGGTAGAGAGGGGAGTAGGAGTAGGGAAGGAAGGATTACGAGGGGCTCTGCATGTACTTGAAACTTGGATCAACAAGGGAGAATGAGGGGAAGAGAGAGGGGAGATTTAAAGGGTAGATAGGGATTAAACGCTATGAAAAGAGGCAGATGGGGGAAAAGGAAGGTAGGAGATGGGGAGGGGGGAGGAAAGTAGGAAATGAGGGGAGGCAGATGGGGAGCAGAAGGCGTGTTGATTACAAGGAATACATAAAAAAAGAAACAAAAGATAGGAGAGTTGAGGAAGAAGGGTGACTGAGGGAAGGGTTGGTTGTGTACACCGTGTGTTTACGGGCTCACCATAGACCGTGCTACTTGCAACTTTTTGTTCCCAGTAGCTGAATGTAAAATAATAACAACAACACCGTATGTTTCGCTGTGTGCACGCGCGCGCTTGATGAGCGAGCGAGCGACGTAGCGCTAGTCAAGAAGTGTCGGACCAACCAGGCTGTGGTGGATATGTGGGCCTGCAGGCCGCTCCAAGCAACAGCCTGGTGGACCACGCTCTCACAAGTCAAGCCTGGGGAGTAGAAGAACTCCCAGAACCCCATCAAGCAGGTAGTTAGACACAGTAAGAGGAGGGGGGGGGGGATAAGAACAGGAACGTAGTACCTTGATTGGGGTTAAAGTCTTGTCCCGCTCTAAATGGACCACAGTGAACAAATCCACAAGGGCAGTGACGAGGATTCGAACCTGCGTCTGGGAGCATCCCAGACACTGCCTTAATCGACTGGCTCAGTCGATTAAGGCAGTGTCTGGGATGCTCCCAGACGCAGGTTCGAATCCTCGTCACTGCCCTTGTGGATTTGTTCATTTGATGCATCACGTTAGTGTGATCTCTGTGTGTGACCACAGTGAATGTTTGTAATGGTTTGTTGGGTATTTTGTGAGATTGGGCTTAATGTTCGGGGCGTAAGCTTGGTGACAGGTGTGTTGTGGTGTACGGGGGGGGGGGGGGGAGGGAAGAGAATTATCAGGGGGGGGGGGGAAAGCACCAAGCCATTGCGACTATATAGCACTTAAAAGGGGTCAGGATAAGGATTTAGGATGGGACGGGGGGGGGAAGGAATGGTGCCCAACTACTTGGACGGTCGGGGATTGAACGCCGACCTGCATGAAGCGAGACCGTCCCTCTACCGTCCACTCCATGTGGTGGGGTGGGGGGATAGCTGTCCTTCCTGGCTTGGTTATAACTAACTACATATTCTGCATACTTGTCGTCGAGGGTTAGTGATGCTATTTTGTTTCTTACTTTGCTGTAGTTTTAACGTTTGTTTTTGGAGAGGAGTTTGTGTTGGGTGACGGGGATGTCCAGGCTGTTGGTTGCAGCATCTTGCACAACAAAACTATGTTGATTAGTGTGTGTTTGTGGAGGAATTGCCTTGGCGTTCTGTATGATGGGATCACCGCACATATGGTGTTCTCACTGAAGGCTTTGGGCAGGCTGCGGGAGTAGAACAACTCGCGAAATCATCAACAGGTAACCAGCAGGTATGTACCTACAGCGTCCAGCCAATCCAGGGATTGGTTCAAAATATTGACTTGGAACTAATCCGTTATTAATTTACAGGTCGTATGTTTTGTCTGCGTGTAAACAAGTATAGTTTGAAGTGCTTCTAAAACACTTCAAACTATACTTGTTTACACGCAGACAAAACATACGACCTGTAAATTAATAACGGATTAGTTCCAAGTCGATATTTTGAACCAATCCCTGGATTGGCTGGACCAATCGTAAACCTTGGGAGCCGGTCGGCCGAGCGGACAGCACGCGGGACTTGTGATCCTGGGTTCGATCCCAGGCGCCGGCGAGAAACAATGGGCAGAGTTTCTTTCACCCTATGTCCCCTGTTACCTAGGAGTAAAATAGGTACCTGGGTGTTAGTCAGCTGTCACGGGCTGCTTCCTGGGGGTGGAGGCCTGGTAAAGGACCGGGCCGCGGGGACACTAAAAGCCCCGAAATCATCTCAAGATAACCTCAAGATAACCTGTCGTACCGTGTCGACACGGTACGACAGGTTAAGCTCAGTGTTACTTGGCATTGAATTGGTGGCCTTGATCCCCCCCCCCCCCAACCGAGGGGAGTGCCAGAGTGCCAGGTGTGGCGGAGATTACCACCTCACTGGGTGCCACTCGGCTCCTCACTCCCTCATTAAATGTACCAATTACTCTTCCTCGCTCGACACTTCTCCTTAAGATTTATCTTCGTTTCGTTGCGATTTTTGTCGCGAGAAATGGTTTCGGGGACGAGAGCTAGAGCTTGACTTTTAACACTCTTGCTGTATACATAAGAGGCCATAACTGGCCGACCTCTCACGGTGATCAAAAGAGACACACCAAATACCTCCAAAGGATACATGATCAACCGGACTGTGATTCATACGTCAGGTTGCGAGCGGCTGCGTCGAACAGCCTGGTTGACCAAACCGCCAACCAGGGGAAGCCTGGTCTAAGAGAGAGCCTTGAGGACTTTGATCCTCTGACCCACTTAAGGTATTGTATAATTACGTCCAGTGCTCACCTAATTGTGCTTGCCGAGGGTTGAGCTTCGGTTCCTTGGTCCCGTCCTTCAACTGTCAATCAACTGGTGTACAGATTCCCGAGCCTATTGGGCAGGGGGAGCAGGTGATGGCCGGGTAGGAGGGTAGAATACCTGGTAGATACCTGGTAGAATCAACCAGGTATCAACCAGGGGGGGGGGTGATGACAGGTGAGGAGGAAGACAGGACTATATTCCTCCTTCGAATTCCTCGGTTTTACACTAAAGTCTAGAGTCCTAGACAGTCCATGTTCGTCTTTGACCGCGCCGACATCTTGTTCAACAAGTCTGCTAATTCGCCTGATTGACATTGATGTCTGACACATGATTGACAAGTGGCGTGTATCTCGCCCCTTGGCGCCGGTGGGTTCTTGAAGCAGCCGTCTGATACGCAGTCCGCCCCTGCCCCCTGCTGGAGCAGACACAGGGACGACCAACACGCCAGTGATAAGCAGTAGGCGCGTCTCCATCTCTTTAACACGCCTTCATTTCCCAGAATTTGTCAGCAGGTCTGTGGAAGATGTGACGTTGACGGACTGACGGAAGATGTGACGGTGACGGACTGACGGAAGATGTGACGGGCAGGTATGGTCCTTTCCCGCACCAGACCATTAGACGGGGCTCGTTTTCTGTTGGTTAAAACCGCGTATATTGCTATGCTAGGATGTATTAGCTTAGGTTAGATTGTGTTTCGCTCGGTTGGGTTGGGTAGAATCGTCTTGTGTACGATGCGACTTGTTTCCGCTGAGGAGACGCTAGGTGGGTACGTGGGGTGATGGGGCCAGAGGGGGGTGATGGGGTCAATCTTATCTACTTTTACCTTACGTTGTTTCCGGGGGTCAACGTCCCTGCGGCCCGGTCTCTGACGAGGCCTCCTGGATGGTGGTCTGGTTGTTGGTGAAACCCCCCAAAAAGATGTTTTTATTATAAAACTTAATTCAATAACATCTTTAAGAATAATTGCATAATTTTTTATAAGTTATTATTCACTATTGTGATGTGATTAAGGCTATCTCGGCTCTCCGTCCAATGTACTCACCTAGTTGTGCTCGCGGGGAGTCGAGCTTTGGCTCTTTGGTCCCACCATGTAAAAGTAGATATAGTATATGCATTAATATAATTAATCATAAAAGAAAATATACCAATTTGATGTAAATGTAAATAATTGAACATCTGGAACATGCAGAGAAATGTCTAAAATGCTGATCCCGCCAATTATAAATAATCTTTATTCCATTTAATAAGATTAAGGATTTGTCCAATTTGACTAAATTCTGTGAAATCAGGAGCAACTCCGATGCTGTCAAAAGAAGGATTTACATAACGCTAAATAATTGCTAGGACAAATTAAATTAAGATTGGTAGGTTTGATAGTTTGTCATTCCCAATGTCTAATAAGACTAATGTGAAGATGAAGCCCCTCATAGTGAAGGCCGTGTCTACACTTGGCTCTGACCTCTTATTAGCGTGCAAGGTGAGAGTATAAGTACCTTGGTCTTGGAGGTTAAGAAGCTCGTGGTTCTTGGTGTTAATATCCAACTTACGCTGTCAGCCCTGAAGGTGAGCTAGGTGACCTGCTAGATCTGGCGTGACTAGGAGCACCCAGGAAGCTCTCAGGTGGTGACTAGGAGCACCCAGGAGGCTCTCAGGTGGTGACTAGGAGCACCCAGGAGGCTCTCAGGTGTTGACTAGGAGCACCCAGGAGGCTCTCAGGTGGTGACTAGGAGCACCTAGGAGGCTCTCAGGTGGTGACTAGGAGCACCTAGGAGGCTCTCAGGTGTTGACTAGGAGCACCTAGGAGGCTCTCAGGTGTTGACTAGGAGCACCTAGGAGGCTCTCAGGTGGTGACTAGGAGCACCTAGGAGGCTCTCAGGTGGTGACTAGGAGCACCTAGGAGGCTCTCAGGTGGTGACTAGGAGCACCTAGGAGGCTCTCAGGTGTTGACTAGGAGCACCCAGGAGGCTCTCAGGTGTTGACTAGGAGCACCCAGGAGGCTCTCAGGTGGTGACTAGGAGCACCCAGTAGGCTCTCAGGTGTTGACTAGGAGCACCCAGGAGGCTCTCAGGTGTTGACTAGGAGCACCCAGGAGGCTCTCAGGTGTTGACTAGGAGCACCTAGGAGGCTCTCAGGTGGTGACTAGGAGCACCCAGGAGGCTCTCAGGTGTTGACTAGGAGCACCCAGGAGGCTCTCAGGTGGTGACTAGGAGCACCCAGGAGGCTCTCAGGTGTTGACTAGGAGCACCCAGGAGGCTCTCAGGTGTTGACTAGGAGCACCCAGGAGGCTCTCAGGTGTTGACTAGGAGCACCCAGGAGGCTCTCAGGTGTTGACTAGGAGCACCCAGGAGGCTCTCAGGTGTTGACTAGGAGCACCCAGGAGGCTCTCAGGTGTTGACTTGGAGCACCTAGGAGGCTCTCAGGTGTTGACTAGGAGCACCCAGGAGGCTCTCAGGTGCTGACTAGGAGCACCCAGGAGGCTCTCAGCTGTTGACTAGGAGCACCCAGGAGGCTCTCGGGTGTCGACTAGGAGCACCCAGGAGGCTCTCAGGTGTTGACTAGGAGCACCTAGGAGGCTCTCAGGTGTTGACTAGGAGCACCCAGGAGGCTCTCGGGTGTTGACTAGGAGCACCCAGGAGGCTCAGGTGTTGACTAGGAGCACCTAGGAGACTCTCAGGTGGTGACTAGGAGCACCCAGGAGGCTCTCAGGTGTTGACTAGGAGCACCTAGGAGGCTCTCAGGTGTTGACTAGGAGCACCCAGGAGGCTCTCAGGTGTTGACTAGGAGCACCTAGGAGGCTCTCAGGTGTTGACTAGGAGCACCCAGGAGGCTCTCAGGTGTTGACTAGGAGCACCCAGGAGGCTCTCAGGTGTTGACTAGGAGCACCCAGGAGGCTCTCGGGTGTCGACTAGGAGCACCCAGGAGGCTCTCAGGTGTTGACTAGGAGCACCCAGGAGGCTCTCGGGTGTCGACTAGGAGCACCCAGGAGGCTCTCAGGTGTTGACTAGGAGCACCCAGGAGGCTCTCAGGTGTTGACTAGGAGCACCCAGGAGGCTCTCAGGTGTTGACTAGGAGCACCCAGGAGGCTACCTTGAGGTGCTTCCGGGGCTTAGTGTCCCCGCGGCCCGGTCGTCGACCAGGCCTCCTGGTTGCTGGACTGATCAACCAGGCTGTTAGACGCGGCTGCTCGCAGCCTGACGTATGAGTCACAGCCTGGTTGATCAGGTATCCTTTGGAGGTGCTTATCCAGTTCTCTCTTGAATACTGTGAGGGGTTTGCCAGTTATGCCCCTTATGTGTAGTGGAAGCGTGTTGAACAGTCTCGGGCCTCTGATGTTGATAGAGTTCTCTCTCAGAGTACCTGTTGCACCTCTGCTTTTCAACGGGGGTATTCTGCACATCCTGCCATGTCTTCTGGTCTCATGTGGTGTTATTTCTGTGTGCAGGTTTGGGACCAGCCCCTCAATTATTTTCCACGTGTAAATTATTATGTATCTCTCCCGCCTGCGCTCAAGGGAGTACAGATTTAGGCTCTTTAGTCGGTCCCAGTAATTTAGATGTTTTACTGAGTGGATTCTAGCAGTAAAGGATCTCTGCACGCTCTCCAGGTCAGTAATTTCTCCAGCTTTGAAAGGTGCTGTCATTGTGCAGCAGTACTCCACTCTAGAGAGCACAAGCGTTTTGAAAAGTATCATCATCGGTATAGCATCTCTAGTGTGAAAAGTTCTTGTTATCCAACCTGTCATTTTTCTTGCAGTTGTGACGGCTACTTTATTGTGTTCTTTAAAGGTAAGGTCTTCCGACATGAGTACACCCAGGTCCTTTACATTGCCTTTTCGTTCTATGTTATGATTTGCCTGCGTTTTGTACGTGGTTTCTGTTTTTATATTTTCAATTTTTCCGTAGCGCATGAGCTGAAACTTATCCTCGTTGAATACCATATTATTTTCTGTAGCCCATAGAAAGACCTGATCTACATCTGATTGGAGGTTTGCCGTGTCCTCTATGTTGCCAACTCTCATGAAAATCCTAGTGTCATCTGCAAAGGATGATACAGTGCTATAGGTTGTGTTCTGGTCTATGTCCGATATGAGGATGAGAAAAAGTACTGGAGCAAGCACAGTACCCTGGGGGACTGAGCTCTTCACGGTTGATGGGCTGGATTTTATTTTGTTGACTATTACACATTGGGTTCTGTCAGTCAGGAAATTGTAGATCCATCTGCCTATTTTCCCGGTAATTCCTTTTGAACGCATTTTATGTGCAATAACACCATGGTCACATTTATCAAAGGAGGCTCTCAGGTGTTGACTAGGAGCACCCAGGAGGCCGTCCGTCTTGGGGTCCACTGGGTAGACCAATGTTGACCGACCGAGAGGGCTGCATCTTGGGGTCCCCTGGGGTGATGGTGGTGGTGGTGGCCCTGACATCCAGGTAGGGGCTGGTCGTCGTGGTGGTGAGGAACTGCCGTGAGTGTGGTATAAGGCAGCCGTCTCCCTCTTCTGTATGTGCGTCTCTCCTCTCTTCTGGCTCCCACCTGTGGATGAACATAAAGGCGACAATACCCGTGTTCCATCTTGTTGTGTGACCCTGTAGTTTGTATAGGGTTCACACAGTCCACTTATAAGCTCTCCTCCTGGCAACAACTACACTTAAATTTTAATAATCCAATTAACTCTGAATGATATTGACTTGGTGGAACATAAGACAGTAACAGAGGAAAGTTAGAGAAGAGAGAATAAGGTCATCACTACCTTTAACTTGTCACAAAAAAATCAACACTAATAGACAAAACACTAGCCTAAACTTAACTGTACCGTTCCTAATCTTAAGTACATAATTAACCATTACTCCCACCCTTAACCTACAGCCACCTACGTGACCCAGAGTGTCTCCCTAGCATCTCCGCCGTTCAACAACTCCAAACTGTTGCCACCCCTGTGACCAGACTATCTAACGTCGAGCGTCCCCAACGTGAAGTCTACTGACATACTAAGGCTCCCCCTAGCATGCTGTACAAGACCAGTACACCTCGGGTTATTGCGTTCAAATGGAGTAAAACAGTCGATCGCAATAATCTGAGCAGAACCACACTTAAACTACTTAAGAACTACACCTGCCACTCCCCACTGACCTGGAGACCAGCGGTGGCTGGGTGTCCCCGTGGGACATGCGAGGTCACCTGTCACACTCAGCTGACCTGCACTACCAACACCGCTAAGTTCCCAAATCGCCAAATCTTATCACTAACATTAATCACTACACACGCAAGTTCTGGTGAACATTCCCTGAATACCACAAAACTCACAAAATCACTAAACACAACACCAGAGAATCACAATCTCCTAACCTGAAAAAACTCGCTAGATCGCGAAAGTAAAACACCTGTCAAGATCTCCCTGATAGCGCCTGAGCGGCAAAAAGACACGTGGGACTGAACAATGTTAAAAGAACACCAACTACCTACAACATTGTTCAACACCGCTGCCATCATTGTAACGGGGGGTGGGGGAAATAGCTCTATCTTGTCCATTATTCCACCCCCCAGTTAACTAACGAGGCCGGGGGAAACAGCTCTCTCTAGTCCGTTATCCCGTCCCCAGTTAGCTAACTATTCTAGAGCACCTCCAGAGATCCTAAGGCAGCCTCTCTCGTTCAACACCTTGTAACCTAGGTATTCGACTACCTAGGTGCTAAGACTACAAGGCGTCGTCACTTGATCAGCTACCCGAAACTCTAGAGAGAACTCTAGAATACATAAATCATTGCCACAAACGTATAAGAGAAAACGAAAGGAAAGAAATGAATAGTGAAGTAATTAGTGAGGGTTTGGGGTGAGAGAGGAGAGAGGTGGGAGGGGCGAGGAGGGTCATTAGTTGAAAGTGAGAGTTTAGAGATGGGTGGAGGGAGAGGTGTAGATAGGTAGAAGTAGAAGAGTAGATAGAAGTAGAAGAGTAGATAGTAGAAGACGAAATGCTGCCACCATCCATTCATGATCATTACATACAAGACAAGGAATGGAACTTGCCTGTATCACAAAATTCTCAAAAGATGTTATCATGAGTTCATTATTAGTATGTTCCCTCTGTACCATGTATCAACTCCAAACATGTATTCATTAATATCTTGAAACCAGTAACCACAGAGGCTTTCTCACCTCAACTCAAAGCTCTAGGGAACAAAGTTAAACACAATTTAAATAATAAATTCATAATTATATTTCCCATGAAGTATCATAATTTAGCAATTCAATTAAAATGTTCCAGTTTAATATTTAAAGTGAGTCATCCTCCAAGAATCTGAGAACCCTACAACTTGACTGCCCCTGATCATCACACAACATATGTAAACACGACCAAGTCACCTTAATGTTCACTCACCGAGGACTGAGTCTAAGTTGAATAGAGAGAGGGGGGGGGGGGTTGTAGTTGACGGAGACTCCCGCCCTGCCGGCCGACAGCCTCCCGTCTGCTCTGCTCTCCTGACTGCCGTTCTGTCTGTTAATGCTTTCTGCTGGATAGCTCTCCGAGTTTATATTGGGGAACCTAGTAGCTAACTCCGCCCACAAGTAGATAGCCTCCGGCACTACCCAGCCACTCCTTAAACGTCGGCATGTTTGAAGGCTACCAGACTACAACTAAGAGATTATCAGAAGCAAGGTGAAATTCGCATGATCTGACCTCAGGTCACTTGGGGTCATTAACGCTTTGAGGTGTGAGATCTCAGGCAGACAACTGGCGCCTCTCAGATCCTTGTCTGTGACTCATGTACTCTATATATTTTAAATAAACTAACCCAAACACTTTTACAGTGTTACATCAACGCCCCCTACAAGGACCCTCAACGCCCCCTACAAGGACCCTCAACGCCCCCTACAAGGACACTCAACACCCACTACAAGGACCCTCAATGCCCCCTACAAGGACCCTCAACGCCCCCTACAAGGACCCTCAACGCCCCTACAAGGACCCTCAACGCCCCCTACAAGGACCCTCAACGCCCCTACAAGGACCCTCAACACCCACTACAAGGACACTCAACGCCCCCTACAAGGACCCTCAACGCCCCCTACAAGGACCCTCAACGCCCCCTACAAGGACCCTCAACGCCCCCTACAAGGACCCTCAACGCCCCCTACAAGGACCCTCAACGCCCCCTACAAGGACCCTCAACGCCCCCTACAAGGACCCTCAACGCCCCCTACAAGGACCCTCAACGCCCCCTACAAGGACCCTCAACGCCCCCTACAAGGACCCTCAACGCCCCCTACAAGGACCCTCAACGCCCCCTACAAGGACCCTCAACGCCCCCTACAAGGACCCTCAACGCCCCCTACAAGGACCCTCAACGCCCCCCTACAAGGACCCTCAACGCCCCCCTACAAGGACCATCAACGCCCCTACAAGGACCCTCAACGCCCCCTACAAGGACCCTCAACGCCCCTACAAGGACACTCAACGCCCCCTACAAGGACCCTCAACGCCCCCTACAAGGACCCTCAACGCCCCCTACAAGGACCCTCAACGCCCCCTACAAGGACCCTCAACGCCCCCTACAAGGACCCTCAACGCCCCCTACAAGGACCCTCAACGCCCCCTACAAGGACCCTCAACGCCCCCTACAAGGACCCTCAACGCCCCCTACAAGGACCCTCAACGCCCCCTACAAGGACCCTCAACGCCCCCTACAAGGACCCTCAACGCCCCCTACAAGGACCCTCAACGCCCCCTACAAGGACCCTCAACGCCCCCTACAAGGACCCTCAACGCCCCCTACAAGGACCCTCAACGCCCCCTACAAGGACCCTCAACGCCCCCTACAAGGACCCTCAACGCCCCCTACAAGGACCCTCAACGCCCCCTACAAGGACCCTCAACGCCCCCTACAAGGACCCTCAACGCCCCCTACAAGGACCCTCAACGCCCCCTACAAGGACCCTCAACGCCCCCTACAAGGACCCTCAACGCCCCCTACAAGGACCCTCAACGCCCCCTACAAGGACCCTCAACGCCCCCTACAAGGACCCTCAACGCCCCTACAAGGACCCTCAACGCCCACTACAAGGACACTCAACGCCCCCTACAAGGACCCTCAACGCCCCCTACAAGGACCCTCAACGCCCCCTACAAGGACCCTCAACGCCCCCTACAAGGACCCTCAACGCCCCCTACAAGGACACTCAACACCCACTACAAGGACACTCAACACCCACTACAAGGACACTCAACACCCACTACAAGGACCCTCAACGCCCACTACAAGGACACCCACTAAACAAGGTGTCGTTGGTCAGCCTCTGCTCGTGTCTGTCTGTCTGTCTATCTCTCCGAGCTTCGTCCAGGTTGTGTGTAGCCGGGTGCTGGGCTGGCTGGTGTCTCTGGGTGACGCTCCCACCATCTTGGGTCTTCCAGGACCTCTTGTGGGCCAAGATAGGCATCTTGCACCATGTAGGGCGCGGGGGGGCAGTGCTGGCTGAAGTTTGTTTGGTGGCAGTGGTTGTTGCTGCAGTGGTAAGTGGTGCCAGTGGTGGCAGTGGTTGGTGGTGCAAGTGGTGCACCTGTACTGACTGTAATGAAGCATCTGTAGTGATTGTAATGAAGCATCTTTACTGGCTGTAATGAAGCACCTGTAGTGACTGTAATGAAGCACCTTTACTGGCTGTAATGAAGCATCTGTAGTGACTGTAATGAAGCACCTTTACTGGCTGTAATGGAGCACCTGTACTGGCTGTAATGAAGCACCTGTACTGGCTGTAATGAAGCACCTGTACTGGCTGTAATGAAGCACCTGTACTGACTGTAATGAAGCACCTTTACTGGCTGTAATGGAGCACCTGTACTGGCTGTAATGGAGCACCTGTACTGACTGTAATGGAGCACCTGTACTGGCTGTAATGAAGCACCTGTACTGGCTGTAATGAAGCACCTGTACTGACTGTAATGTTGACATCTTCAGAGTCTCGTGGCATTCTATCCTCGGGTTTGTTTGTTTACAATTCAATTTCCATAAATCCCCGCCTAACTAGCGGAGTCAGTTGACTGTTGTTGTTCTTGTTACCGGAGCTCGCGGAGGCGCTCTGGGGGATTAAGATTACATTGCTGGATAGCTTATAGTTTCTTAAGGTTTGGAAGACTGCTTTGGTGTTTAGTGTTAATTGTTGCGTTATTATGATTGACGTGTGCATGCTTAAAGGGCTGTGTGGTTGATGGTGGTGGGAGAGATGGCTGTGGGAGGGTCGGTGGGAGAGGTGACTTTGGGAGGGGTGGTTGTGGGAGGAAGAGAAAGTGAGAGAGATGGCTGTGGAAGGGAAGTTGGGAGTGGGATGGCGGGAGAAATGGCTTTAGAAGGGATGGTTGTGGGAGGGAGGGAGGAAGGGAAGGGAAGAAAGGGGGTAAAGATGGCTTTAGAAGGGATGGTTGTGGGAGGGATGTTGGTTATCTTGAGGTGATTTCGGGGCTTTTTAGTGTCCCCGCGGCCCGGTCCTCGACCAGGCCTCCACCCCCAGGAAGCAGCCCGTGACAGCTGACTAACACCCAGGTACCTATTTTACTGCTAGGTAACAGGGGCATAGGGTGAAAGAAACTCTGCCCATTGTTTCTCGCCGGCGCCTGGGATCGAACCAAGGACCACAGGATCACAAGTCCAGCGTGCTGTCTGCCCGGCCGACCGGCTCCCCTCGGCTCGACCGGCTTGGTAGTAGTAGAGTTTACCTACCTAGTGTGGCCACAGCCACAGCCTCTTGGACTGGACGGTAGAGCGACGGTCTCCCATCTTGCAGGTCGGCAGACGTATTGCTCCAAACATTCTCTCACTGATATCTCATGCTGGGCAACAGGTATAGAGTTGTATAGAGGGCACTTATTGCACTTCTACTTTTCAGTGGCTCTATTGTACAGGTTACACCGTGCTTCCAGCTCTCGCCAAGAATTATTTTTAGGTGTTGATTTGAAGCTGGAGCTTTTGAGTGTTTTCCAGACTTAGTTTGTGATGCATCGTTTTCACGTCAGCTTAAATAAGTGCAATATGAGGGATTTAAGACTTTACCAAATATATATAAATATATATATATATATATATATATATATATATATATATATATATATATATATATATATATATATATATATATATAATATATTTTTTTTAAAACTTTGTGAGGGGTACCACCTCTGGTGCCAATGTGGGGACCCATAGCCTCGGAGAAGAAAATAAAAAGTATTCAGAGGAGACCTTGTGGTTTCTCACTGAACACTAATATATATATATATATATATATATATATATATATATATATATATATATATATATATATATATATATATATACGCACGCACGGCTGGTGGAGGCGTGCGTGTGGCGTGCCCCCTGGCTGGTGGAGGCGTGCGTGCGTATATATATATATATATATATATATATTAAATACAAGAGCATTGTGACTATTCTGTTGTCACAATGCTGTTGTGTTTAATGACCTGTGTATTAGAGTCTACCATCGTTCTTCCAAGTGCCATAGTTAAGTCTGTTTTCCTCTTTGAAAGCAAAAAAATAGTCATGTTTCTCGTATTTCCACTTAAGCTCAATATGGCGGTGGTGGTGGTGACAACAGAGCATTTTGTCGGGCCAGCGGCACCCGGTAATGGAGGCGTGCGTGTGGCGTGCCCCCTGGCTGGTGGAGGCGTGCCCCCTGGCTGGTGGAGGCGTGCCCCCTGGCTGGTGGTGGCGTGCCCCCTGGCTGGTGGAGGCGTGCCCCCTGGCTGGTGGAGGCGTGCCCCCTGGCTGGTGGTGGCGTGCCCCCTGGCTGGTGGTGGCGGCGTGCCCCCTGGCTGGTGGTGGCGGCGTGCCCCCTGGCTGGTGGTGGCGGCGTGCCCCCTGGCTGGTGGTGGCGTGCCCCCTGGCTGGTGGAGGCGTGCCCCCTGGCTGGTGGAGGCGTGCGTGTGGCGTGCCCCCTGGCTGGTGGAGGCGTGCGTGTGGCGTGCTCACTGGCTGGTGGTGGCGTGCCCCCTGGCTGGTGGAGGCGTGCCCCCTGGCTGGTGGTGGCGTGCCCCCTGGCTGGTGGAGGCGTGCCCCCTGGCTGGTGGTGGCGTGCCCCCTGGCTGGTGGAGGCGTGCCCCCTGGCTGGTGGAGGCGTGCCCCCTGGCTGGTGGAGGCGTGCGTGTGGCGTGCCCCCTGGCTGGTGGAGGCGTGCGTGTGGCGTGCTCACTGGCTGGTGGAGGCGTGCGTGTGGCGTGCCCCCTGGCTGGTGGAGGCGTGCGTGTGGCGTGCCCCCTGGCTGGTGGAGGCGTGCGTGTGGCGTGCTCACTGTCTGGTGGAGGCGTGCGTGTGGCGTGCCCCCTGGCTGGTGGAGGCGTGCGTGCGTCGTTCCCCCTGGCTGGTGGAGGCGTGCGTGCGTCGTGCTCACTGGCTGGTGGAGGCGTGCGTGTGGCGTGCCCACTGGCTGGTGGGGGCGTGCCCACTGGCTGGTGGAGGCGTGCGTGTGGCGTGCTCACTGGCTGGTGGGGGCGTGCCCACTGGCTGGTGGAGGCGTGCGTGTGGCGTGCTCACTGGCTGGTGGGGGCGTGCCCACTGGCTGGTGGAGGCGTGCGTGTGGCGTGCTCACTGGCTACCTTACCTTGAGGTTACCTTGAGGTGCTTCCGGGGCTTAGCGTCCCCGCGGCCCGGTCGTCGACCAGGCCTCCTGGTTGCCGGACTGATCAACCAGGCTGTTGGACGCGGCTGCTCGCACCCTGACGTACGAGTCACAGCCTGGTTGATCAGGTATCCTTTGGAGGTGCTTATCCAGTTCTCTCTTGAACACTGTGAGGGGTCGGCCAGTTATGCCCCTCATGTGTAGTGGAAGCGTGTTGAACAGTCTCGGGCCTCTGATGTTGATAGAGTTCTCTCTCAGAGTACCAGTTGCACCTCTGTTTTTCAACGGGGGTATTCTGCACATCCTGCCATGTCTTCTGGTCTCATGTGGTGTTATTTCTGTGTGCAGGTTTGGGATCAGCCCCTCTAATATTTTCCACGTGTAAATTATTATGTACCTCTCCCGCCAGCGCTCAAGGGAGTACAGTTTTAGGCTCTTTAGTCGGTCCCAATAGTTTAGATGTTTTACTGAGTGGATTCTAGCAGTAAAGGATCTCTGCACGCTCTCCAGGTCAGTAATTTCTCCAGCTTTGAAAGGTGCTGTCATTGTGCAGCAGTACTCCACTCTAGAGAGCACAAGCGTTTTGAAAAGTATCATCATCGGTATAGCATCTCTAGTGTGAAAAGTTCTTGTTATCCAACCTGTCATTTTTCTTGCAGTTGTGACGGCTACTTTATTGTGTTCTTTAAAGGTAAGGTCTTCCGACATGAGTACACCCAGATCCTTTACATTGCCTTTTCGTTCTATGTTATGATTTGCCTGCGTTTTGTACGTGGTTTCCGTTTTTATATTTTCATTTTTTCCATAGCGCATGAGCTGGAACTTATCTTCGTTAAACACCATATTATTTTCTGTAGCCCATAGAAAGACCTGATCTACATCTGACTGGAGGTTCGCCGTGTCCTCTATGTTGCCTACTCTCATGAAGATCCTAGTGTCATCTGCAAAGGATGATACAGTGGCTGGTGGAAGCGTGCGTGTGGCGTGCCCACTGGCTGGTGGAGGCGTGCGTGTGGCGTGCTCACTGGCTGGTGGAGGCGTGCTCACTGGCTGGTGGAGGCGTGCGTGTGGCGTGCTCACTGGCTGGTGGAGGCGTGCTCACTGGCTGGTGGAGGCGTGCTCACTGGCTGGTGGAGGCGTGCTCACTGGCTGGTGGGGGCGTGCGTGTGGCGTGCCCACTGGCTGGTGGAGGCGTGCGTGTGGCGTGCTCACTGGCTGGTGGAGGCGTGCTCACTGGCTGGTGGAGGCGTGCTCACTGGCTGGTGGAGGCGTGCTCACTGGCTGGTGGAGGCGTGCTCACTGGCTGGTGGAGGCGTGCTCACTGGCTGGTGGAGGCGTGCGTGTGGCGTGCCCACTGGCTGGTGGAGGCGTGCGTGTGGCGTGCTCACTGGCTTGTGGAGGCGTGCGTGTGGCGTGCTCACTGGCTGGTGGAGGCGTGCGTGTGGCGTGCCCACTGGCTGGTGGAGGCGTGCGTGTGGCGTGCCCACTGGCTGGTGGAGGCGTGCCCACTGGCTGGTGGAGGCGTGCCCACTGGCTGCTGGAGGTCGTGGCGGAGGGTGGCGTGGGTGGCCGGTCCATGGAGGAGCATTAAGCCTCCGCTGGCGGATGATGGACGCACTGTAATGGGCCGCTCTACACGCCTCGATCA